TCCTGGGGAGGAGTAACCTGAAATTTGCTGGAATGCCAATCACTCTCACCGTCTCCACCAGCAGCCTCAACCTCATGGCCGCAGACTGCAAACAGGTTGGTGGAGGTGGGCAGGTGGACCAGAAACACCGATGGGGGTGCTAAGGGGAGATCTAGTTAGGAGGCCAAAAACTAGGAAGAGGGCTTGAGAGCAGAAGACCAGTAGGGAAGGAGGAAATGAGGATATGGGATAAGGAACCCAGAGAATGAGACTGGGGCACCAGGGTTCTGGGCCCTGAGGCTGCCTGACACATGGCATTCCCTTCCTTCTCCATCCCCTCCCCTAATTCTCAGATCATCGCCAACCACCACATGCAATCTATCTCATTTGCATCCGGCGGGGATCCGGTGAGTTGGGGAACAGAGCAAAGGTGGTGGGAGAAGAGCAAGGGGCTAGTGATTGGGAAGACATTGATTAGAGAAGTGGGGGTGCTAGGACTGTGGGGATATCTGAAAAGGACTGGGTTTTAGGGGTCAGGAGTAAAGTGGAACTGTAAAATTTTCTGACCTTCCTCCCCAGGACACAGCCGAGTATGTCGCCTACGTTGCCAAAGACCCTGTGAATCAGAGAGGTGAGGCATGGTGGGGAGCACTGGGTGGGTCTGGCTGTTTGAGGTGAGTAGGACCTGGGGTCATCTGTACCCACTCTAAGTAGATCTAAGTGGGGGTTCCTGCCGAGGAAGATGAGGGCCCCTGTCTGTGCCTCCTCCCAGTGGGCTCAACTCACTGACAGCCTCTGCTGTGCCCTCAGCCTGCCACATTCTGGAGTGTCCCGAAGGGCTTGCCCAGGATGTCATCAGCACCATTGGCCAGGCCTTTGAGTTGCGCTTCAAACAATACCTCAGGAACCCACCCAAACTGGTCACCCCTCATGACAGGATGGCTGGCTTTGATGGCTCAGCATGGGATGAGGAGGAGGAAGAGCCACCTGACCATCAGTACTATAATGACTTCCCGGGGAAGGAACCCCCCCTGGGGGGGGTGGTAGACATGAGGCTTCGGGAAGGAGCTGCTCCAGGGGCTGCTCGATCCACTGCACCCAGTGCCCAGACCCCTAGCCACTTGGGAGCTACACTGCCTGTAGGACAGCCTGTTGGGGGAGATCCAGAAGTCCGAAAATAGATGCCACCTCCACCACCCTGTCCAGGCAGAGAGCTCTTTGACGATCCCTCCTATGTCAACGTCCAGAACCTAGACAAGGTCCGGCAAGCAGTGGGTGGTGCTGGGCTCCCCAATCCTGCTGTCAATGGCAGTGCACCCCGTGACCTGTTTGATATGAAGCCCTTTGAAGATGCTCTTCGGGTGCCTCCACCTCCCCAGTCAGTGTCCATGGCTGAGCAGCTCCGAGGGGAGCCCTGGTTCCATGGGAAGCTGAGTCGGCGGGAGGCTGAGGCACTGCTGCAGCTCAACGGGGACTTCCTGGTGCGGGAGAGCACGACCACACCTGGCCAGTATGTGCTCACTGGCTTGCAGAGTGGGCAGCCCAAGCATCTGCTACTGGTGGACCCTGAAGGTGTGACCACATGCAATCTATCTTATTTGCATCCAGTGGGGATCCGGACACAGCCAAGTATGTTGCCAATGTTGCCAAAGACCCTGTGAATTGGAAAGCCTGCCACATTCTGGAGTGTCCTGAAGGGCTTGCCCAGGATGTCATCAGCACCATTGGCCAGGCCTTTGAGTTGCGCTTCAAACAATACCTCAGGAACCCACCCCAACTGGTCACCCCCATGACAGGATGGCTGGCTTTGATGGATCAGCTTGGGATGAGGAGGAGGAGGAGGAAGAGCCACCTGACCATCAGTACTATAATGACTTCCCGGGGAAGGAACCCCCCCTGGGGGGGGTGGTAGACATGAGGCTTCGGGAAGGAGCTGCTCCAGGGGCTGCTCGATCCACTGCACCCAGTGCCCAGACCCCTAGCCACTTGGGAGCTACACTGGTAAGTTGCTTGGATGGAGGTGGGCTGGGCCTAGGGTGGGAGTGGTTGTTCAGGGCTTCTGGTCTCACCTTATTTTTATCCCTGCAGCCTGTAGGACAGCCTGTTGGGGGAGATCCAGAAGTCCGAAAACAGATGCCACCTCCACCACCCTGTCCAGGTATGAAGGGAGCTGAGATGGACAGAGCCAGGGAGTGTTGGAGGCAGGGCTGGGGATCACTGTAGAACCTCTCTTTCCTCAGCAGGCAGAGAGCTCTTTGACGATCCCTCCTATGTCAACGTCCAGAACCTAGACAAGGTCCGGCAAGCAGTGGGTGGTGCTGGGCTCCCCAATCCTGCTGTCAATGGCAGTGCACCCCGTGACCTGTTTGATATGAGTGAGTGCTTGTCTTTCCTCTCTGCATCTCCACCTTTCTACTTGGTTCTGGCCCTTCTCCTGCCTATCTGCTCTTTCCTTCCTGACTTCCCTTCCCTGAAGTCTGGGTCTTGGGTGTGTGTTGTGCCTGCTACTTTCCCTCACCCTCCGTCTACACTTCCAGAGCCCTTTGAAGATGCTCTTCGGGTGCCTCCACCTCCCCAGTCAGTGTCCATGGCTGAGCAGCTCCGAGGGGAGCCCTGGTTCCATGGGAAGCTGAGTCGGCGGGAGGCTGAGGCACTGCTGCAGCTCAACGGGGACTTCCTGGTGCGGGAGAGCACGACCACACCTGGCCAGTATGTGCTCACTGGCTTGCAGAGTGGGCAGCCCAAGCATCTGCTACTGGTGGACCCTGAAGGTGTGGT